CGCAAGATGAGTTGGCTGAACTCAAGACATATATTGACGAGAATTTAGCGAAGAATTTTATACGCCATTCAAAATCTCCAGCAGGAGCTCCAATTTTATTCGTAAAGAAAAAAGATGGATCTTTACGAATGTGTGTTGATTATCGAGGACTCAACAAGATCACAATCAAGAACAGGTATCCATTACCTTTGATATCAGGACTCCTTGACCAGTTAAATCAAGCTAAGATCTATACAAAAATAGATCTAAGAGGAGCATATAATCTAGTACGGATCAAAGAAGGAGATGAATGGAAGACTGCGTTTCGAACCAGGTACGGGCATTTTGAATATAATGTCATGCCTTTTGGACTCACGAATGCACCAGCTGCTTTTCAACATCTCATAAATGATGTATTTCGTGAATTCTTAGACAATTTTGTCGTCTGCTACCTAGACGATATCCTGATTTATTCTAAGAATGTTGAAGAACATGAAATACATGTTCGTCAAGTATTACAAAAACTCAGAGATGCAGGATTGTACGCCAAGATGGAAAAGTGTGTATTTCACACTACTCAAGTTGACTTTTTAGGATACACCATTTCAAATGATGGTCTTATGATGGATTCTAAGAAAGTCCAAACAATCATGGATTGGAAGATTCCAAAGACTGTGAGAGATGTCCAATGTTTCTTGGGATTTGCCAATTACTATCGGATCTTCATCAAAGACTTCTCACGAGTTGCAGCTCCACTTACACGCTTGACTAGTAAAGATAAATTCCAATGGAATCAAGAAGCGGAAGCAGCATTTGAAGCCTTGAAGACATCGTTTGTCTCTGCACCAGTCTTATATCGTGTTGATTTTTCCAAGGCATTTTTTATGGAAACAGACGCATCGGATTTTGCCTTGGGTGCAGTTTTATCACAAATGGGAACAGATGACAAACTTCATCCGATAGCTTTTCATTCAAGAAAATTCTCAGCAGCCGAGATCAATTATGAGATCCACGATAAAGAACTTCTTGCAATCGTGGATTCCTTTCAAGAATGGCGTCATTATCTAGAAGGCGCTTCTAGTCCAGTCACTGTGTATACAAATCACAAGAACCTTGAGTATTTCATGTCAGCACGCGTGTTGAATCGTCGTCAAGCTCGTTGGAGTATGTCTTTGTCAAGATTCGAGTTCATTATCACTTATCGGCCAGGAAAACAACAAGGTTTGTCCAATGCCCTGTCTAGACGTTCTTATTTTGCACCAAAAGAAGGAGATGCAGCTTTTGAGCAACAAAGAACGGTCCTCTTGAAACCGGAGCAATTTCATCTCCGAGCAGTGAAATCAACATTGACTGTTGATTCAACTTTTCTCAAGCAAATCCAGTCCAGTATGTCCTCAGACCCTCTTGTTCATGATATCGAGAATAATTCTTCCAAGTCTCATGATTCTTCTAAGTTCGAGTTCAAGAATAATCTATTACATTTTGAAGGACGCCTATATGTTCCAGAAGGAAAAGCACGTTTGCGTGTTCTTCAAGCACGTCATGACTTTCCAGCAGCAGGGCACTTTGGATATAATAAGACTCTGGAACTCATATCAAGAGATTTTTGGTGGCCACAAATGTGGAAGTCAGTCAAAGACTTTGTACAATCATGTGATATTTGTTCAAGATCAAAAACTCCTCGACATCGACCTTACGGACTTCTTCAGCCATTACCTATACCAGAACAACCATGGTCTTCTGTTTCTATGGATTTCATCACAGATCTTCCAAACTCAAGAACTTATGATTCTATATTTGTGATAGTAGATCGTTTCACCAAGATGGCACATTTTATGCCATGTACAAAATCTATCACAGGTGAAGAAACAGCTAAGCTTTTCATTGATAATATCTATCGCTATCATGGATTACCTAAAGTTATCATATCGGATAGGGGAACTCAATTTGTGTCGAGATTCTGGAGGACTCTTTTCAAGATTTTAAAAGTGGACATAAAGCTATCTTCAGCTTTCCATCCTCAAACTGATGGACAAACAGAGCGCGTAAACCAAGTCTTGGAACAGTATTTAAGGTGTACCATCAACTACCAACAAGATGATTGGACAAACCTTCTGCCATTGGCAGAGTTTGCTTATAATAATACGGTACATTCTTCCACGCAACAAACACCTTTCTTTGCCAATTATGGCTATCATCCACGACTTGATACTTTTGATTTTTCAAAAATTGATAATCCTGCAGCAGAAGATATGGCAAATCGGTTGTCAGAGTTACATGCAATAATGAAGGCGCAGTTGAAGAAAGCTCAAGAACGACAAAAGATAAATGCAGATGTATATCGTAAAGAGCAACCACAACTCAACGTGGGTGATAAGGTATGGCTACTTCGTCGCAATATCAAGACCACTCGACCTTGTGACAAATTGGACTATCGTAGGCTTGGCCCCTTTTCTGTTTCTGAACAGATCAACCCAGTTGCATATCGGTTACATCTACCGGAGTCAATGAAGATCCATCCTGTATTCCACGTGTCTCTTCTTGAACCATATAAGACAGTGGATATACAAGGAAGAAGACAAATGCCACCGCCTCCTATAGAAGTAGATAATAATGAAGAATTTGAGGTGGAAGAGATATTAGACTCAAGGCGGCGCCGAAATAAGCTGGAATATCTTGTTCATTGGTGCGGATATGATATTAGTGAGCGCACATGGGAGCCATCCAGGAATCTAGCAAATGCATCAGCTAAAGTCAAAGTTTTTCATCAACGACATCCATCAAAACCAAGATGAAAACCTCTCTTATAAAAGAGACAAGATTGAGACAAGATAACATTCAATTTCCTATCCTTGTTTGTAACTTCTTTGCATTTTGTGACGCTAATTAGATGGAGAGCCAACAACCAGCGGATTCAACTCAAGAACCTTCGTTTGCTGACTTACCGGATGAGACATTGCGATTGTCACAACCTTCAAGACGACGCAACCGAAATGAAGACCCTCAAGAACGACATGTTCTTCCTCGAATAGATGGTGAGATACAACGCGTTTGGTATCACGACCTTGGAAGAGATTCTCGATGTTTGGTGATATTATTGGAGATAGGAACGACTCCTGATGGTGTTTCAAATGTATTATTTGAAGGAAGTTATGAAGGCCTCAACAGTGATCAAATAACAGGGTGGTCTTTTCGCCCTGGAATGGGACACTATCGATGGCTAAGAGGACCCATCAACTATCTTCGAAGAGAACAAAGATCAGAGTATGTAGCAAATACAATTCGCCGCATATTAGATTTTCTCAATATATAATCACCGCTCCTCATGGAACTCATCCCTAGAAGGGGGGGTAATGTCACGGACATACATATAATTACCTATATGAATAGATAAAAGTATGTAAAAGTAGGTTAATTGTGTAATATCTTCTAGAGAAGCTTCTTAGAAGCTTCATAGATGCTGCTTTGACTTTATAGGAGTCTATAGTTGACTTTTAGGTTAGAAACTTGGTCAACAAGTTAGCCATGTGCCACGCATGTTGGAAGCTTAAAGAACAAGCTAACTACGTGGTCCATCCATAGAAAACTTGCCTTGCAAGCAAAGGCATGTGGCCTAGAAAGTCAACATATATTGGAGGTCTTATAGAACATCGCCACGTGGCTTCTAGTTAGATAGTATATATAGAGGCAAGAGTGAAGCCCTCTTCACTCTTGTCAACTCCTTTCTTGCTTCTAGTCTAGTTTCAAGGGTCTCTAGTTTTCTTGTATTTTGGCAATAGCCATTCCAGTTTCTTTCTTAATATACATATTTCTATTTTGTCCTATTTCTTTTTGAGAAAAGTCTCACTTACTCTTTAGCTTTCATCGAGTTCTTGTCCCTGACAATTTGATACCAAGCACCCGGCCCAAAAGCAGTCATACAACCCCAAATCTTAATTGAACCACCACCATGTTTGACAGTTTGACTAACATGTTTAGGTCCAGGTCGTTCTCCTTCTCTCAACCAACACCAAGACCTATCATTTGAGTTCATTAGGTTAATCTTTGTCTCATCACTGAAAATAATCCGTCTCCAATCATCAATGGTCCAATTTTTGTATTTATGAGCAAAACTCAACCTTGCAAGAACATGTCTTTTGGCAAGTAGAGGCTTCTTTTGTTGCACACAAGCACCCAAACCAGCTTCTCTCAAACCACACCTCAAGGTGATGTCTGAGAAGTGTTTATCTGTTTTTTTTCGAAGTTGTTTTGCAGCTGCACTTGCCGTTTTGAGACAACCAACAGTGACAAGGTACACACCAAGTCGCTTCTCTTGCTCTCCTAAAACCTTTGGACGTCATCCTCTTTGCTTTTCTATTTCACCACTAATCTCCTTCCTCAGATGAGCTATTGAAGACTGACTCATTCCAAGTGAGTCTGCAACTTTTCTTGTAGAAACACCACTCCTAAGCTGCATCAATGCTTGGTGCTTCAATGATTCACACAACCGAGGCATAGAGATACAATTGACAAATCAACTTTCACTATAGATAGTACACAACAAGAGCAACACAACAAACAAAAAATGCCCTCAAATCTTGCAACAAGGAGTGTACATTGAAATTTCGAAATTCAGCAAGAAGAAGCAACCAAAACTGAGTACGCACTTCTACAACACTTTTCTCATAAACCCTACCTCAAATGATAATGAGTTTTTTCATCCATGTAGAGGATTGGATGAATACACTTAATAAAAAAGTAATTCTATCAATTGACTTATGTGTCAGTTTGAAGGATCAATGAACTATGAGTGTTCAGATTTTGTACTCGGTTTTGTTTGTCACTGTATATATAAATACAAAATGTTTATTTCCAGAAAATGTATGTCCCCCCCCCCCCCAAGTTATGACTTTAATGGGATTCTCCCATCAAACTCTTTAGCCTCTTTTAGCAAGTTTGAACAGACCCGGCGGCAGAAAACGACGCTGAGGTTACTTGGGTAAGCAAAGCAGCACAACCCAATTTGTGTAGAAGGCAGTAACTGGATAAGAAAAGCTGCATTCATCCGCAGTAGGCGCAGCTTGGCAGCGATGAGAGAAACAGCGCGAAGAAACACGTCGAAGACTCGGCATCGCCTTCGGATACTATTCAAGGGTAAGCAAGCGTAAGAGGAGCCATGCGTGGTGTGCAAGTTACAACCCCAGTCGGCTGGAGAGTGGATGATGGAGAGCATCTGTTCACAGCCGTACTTGGCGCAGCACCACAGCGTCGTCAACTCGGCAGCGGGCCACAAGGACGTGGTATCGAGAAGAGAATTTTAAATGGGATTGTGCGATGTTGTTCTCTTTGCGGTCGGGGGGTGTTTTTTTTTTTTTTTTTTTTTGTTTTTTTTGAATCGCAGGGAATTAATATAGTTGGGTTTTCTTAATTTTTTTGATGGCCATCTTTGGTGTTCCTGACGAACCCGATGGGCAGCTTCTGTGCTTTTGCGATAATCTTATCTCGGTGTTCATCCAACTCGGAATTCTGTGTTTCTTTTGCTGCAGATCAGTCTTCCTCAAGCTCTGAGCTTCACCACGGCATTGGCTTCACCGGCATTGAGGGACTGTCCGAGTTGGGTAGGGTTTTCAAAGTGCATCTTGTCACTTAGTTTCGGTAGGATATCTAGGGTCGGTCCCGTAAGAGTTAGATGTGCGGCGGCTAGTTCACCTCGTGGGAGAGAGAGGCTTAGTGGAAAAAATATGGCGAACGAGGAGGCTCTCGCCGCGAAATTAGCTGAGATGACGCTGATGAAGAAGGAGCAATCTCCGCAAGAGAAGCCTCTATTCTCGTTCGGAGTGATTACCGATATTCAATATGCTGACATTGACGATGGGAAATCCTTCCAAGGAGTGCCGCGGTACTACCGGCACGCATCTGAAGTATTGGAGAGAGCAGTGGATGCATGGAACAAGCACGGCAACCTCGCATTCGCAGTCCACTTTGGTGACATTGTGGACGGATTCTGCCCCAAGGAGCAATCCAAACAAGCGTTCGAACGCATCTTATCTGAGCTCGCCAATTTCGAAAGAGGTCCCGTCTATCATATGCTGGGCAACCACTGTCTCTACAACCTACCGCGCCAAGAGTTGAACCAATTCCTCAACATCCCCACCTCGGGCTTGCATTCTTACTACTCCTTCAGTCCCAATAATGAATTTTTGTTCGTTGTTTTAGATGGCTACGATGTGAGCGCTCTGGGCTGGCCAGCGGACCACCCCCACACCGCGGCCGCAATGGAGCTCTTGAACACACGGAATCCCAACAAGGAGAAGAACAGTCCGGAGGGGCTCGTCGGTGTAGAGCGCAGGTTTGTGAAGTTCAACGGCGGTGTCGGGGATGAGCAGCTCGCATGGTTGGAAAACACTCTGCGCGAGGCGCAAGAAGCGCAACAGAAGGTTATCATTTGCTGCCACTTGCCAATGGACCCAGGCGCATCGTTTCCTTCCGCTCTGCTCTGGAATTACGACGCTGTGTTGGCGGTTGTGCACAAGTTCAACTGCGTGGTGGCGTGCTTTGCCGGACACGCCCATGAGGGCGGACATTCTGTGGACTCTCATGGCGTGCATCACCACGTGCTGGAAGCGGTGCTGGAGTGCCCTCCCGGCTCGGATGCGTATGGCTATGTCAACGTTTTCTCTGACCATCTCTCGCTTTGCGGGACGGATCGCATGCGTTCTTACGACATGAACTTCCAGAGCTCAGGAATGCACCCCTCTCATTCTTTGAATTGAAGACTGTGGATTCAGCCACAGACGTGTACCATATAATGTTTCTTTCGACTTATCGAAAACTATTGAGAATCGATCACAACGGTTTGTCAGTGGTCTTGTTTTATGCGTTTGGAAAAACACTATTTATAGGTTCTCAAAGCATCCCCTCCATGTGCTCTCAAATGCTAGAAACTTATTGATCTTCAAACCTGTGCTGGAAACTTCACGCTGCAGTGCAGAGCTTTCAAGAACCTGCAAGATTTGTGTAAGACCGTCGTTTGGTACTAAACTTGTGCCGGAAGATGCTGTCCCGTGCTTCTGTCGGAGTGTCAGCTGCAAACTGCACCCATCCACATGCTGGAAACGACACATCCAGACACCATGTTCCTGCAGCGAAACGTATTATGACAAGACCTTAAATTCTTTATTCAGTTTATTATGTGCTGCCATACCTTATGGCGCGTTCGAGTCTTCTTCAATTAAACCTGCTAGGAGTTTTATTGCTGCCAGTGTTCGGAGTCTTCAATAGTCTTCAGTTTTAGCGACACCGAAGAGCATCATCAATCTGGTGCCTTTGCAGGTCCATCTTCATGTCGTTGCTCATTTTGTGTGTCACCTGTTTCACATTTTTGTTGGTGCTCATGCTCAGTCAGTGAGTATTGACAAATGCTGTGATGTTTTACAGTTTTTGAGGATGCTTTACTCTGTTGAAATGCAACAAAAAACCTTGTAGAAGTGAATTTGAAGCCTAATGTGTTTTATTTGTATACGATTCTGCTAGGTTGAGAGGAATAAACATACTTTTGATACAGGTAGGCTAAGGCTGAGAGGTTCGCCTTCCACCAAAACAGTTTTCTTTCTCTTTTTTCTCACTTTTATCCTTCTAAACAAGGGGACAGATGGAGGGGTTGAGGCTGAGAGGAGGTTTGCCTAAACAAGTTTGGAGGACATCAACTTTGTATGAATCAATTTAACAAGAGTGAAATAGAAACAATTTGGAATTTGTTTAGGCAACTACAGGGACCTGATTCAACAATTACTTTGAGATTGGAGAGGGATAACTGGAAAGGAAATGATTTAAATATTACGTTTCTGGATATTAAGGAGGCTCACTTGATAATAGAAAGGAGGTGGATGGTGGGTCAACAAATGGACTGAAATCTAACAAAGAGATTTAATTCTCAAGAATAAAATATGAAGATTTGAGGAAATTTTCTGAAGAGGAAGGCTAAGGAAGAAGAAGAGTAACAAAGAAGGCGATGGAGATAGAAAATTAAGTTGGAAGAAGGAGGTTGATAAAAAATACTAAACCAATTTTGAAAAGATGATACACAAAGGACACACAATAAGTGGTTCTTCTAGATACATATTTATTGTAAAATAATAATCTAAGATTTGTTATAGCATTATTAGTGTTTTATATTTATGGCAATCAAAATCTTATGTACAAGAATTTTATATGTAGAATAAAATATAGTTTTTTAAAATAACATTTTATTCACTAATAAATGTAGGTTACATAATTATTTCTTAGATTAATAAATTTAATATTTTAGATTATATTATAAAAGTAAAAATATTAACAATATAAATACAAGTTCAAATTTGAATATATATATATACATACATGTATTTAAATAATAAATTATGAATTATAACAATGATTTATTAAAATGTATTTATGTTCCTATAATATATTTTAAATTTATGAATAAATTCATTCTAAAATAAAATTCTAAACTAAAAATTCTAAACTCAATTTATTAATCATATTAATCCAAATAATATAATATCTATAAAATCATTAATTTTAGAGGTAAACAAAATCATTTTAAAGTAAATTCTTAAAAAAATTTAAAATTCAAATTCATTTATTGAAAAAATATTATATTTATATATTTAATCATTAAAAATGAGAATGGCTTGGTGGACATCCACCTCTTTTATTGCTTGAATAATCCTTTATGTCACAAATTACTACAAACACACAATAATATTTTTATTTGCATAAAAAAATTTAGAATAAATTTATAATAAAAAGCTTGTATGCAATGGAAAATGATATTTTTTATTTTTATTTTTATTATTTTTATTAAATTTAAAATAATTTAATGATATATTTCATTTATTTTTTATTTACTTAAAATTATTTATTAATTTGATTTAAGAAATATTTTATCATAAATTTACTCTAAATATTTTTAGTAGAAATAAGATTTTTATAGTATATATACAATGGAAGGTGTCTACACAATAAAAGAGGGGGTGTCTATCTAACAATGATCTTAATAGTTTATATCATAAAATTTATAATAAGAATTATTTTTGTAATTTCAAATTTTTTAAAATTGAGTCAAAGCTTTTTAAATATTAACATAAGATTTAGTTTTAGAATTTGCATACTATGCTTTAGTAATTGTTTAAATAGAGCAAAGAGAAGCTTAACAATTTATAATCTAAAAATAATAATATATTTACTTGCAACTATGATGGGCATATATATATTTATATTGAAAATTATTAGGATTAAAAATCTAGGTATAAGTAAACATAAATAAAATTTACAATATCTTATTAAATTACTTTTTTGAAGCTTCATAGATGCAAAATTTTTTTTCCTAGTATTTGTAAGTAATTAGTAGGGTAAAAATTTAGCCAACAAGTTGGCCACATTTTATACATGTTGGCAACTTGTGATACAAACTGGCTATGTGGCATACATATTAGAAACTTATCTTACAACTTAGACATATGTCTCAAAAATTGGACATGTGTTGAATGATCTATAAAACGTTGTCACATAGCTCCTTAGTTAGATAGTATACATAGAGGTAAGAATAAGGCTTTCATTGCTCTTATCAACGTCTTTCTAAAGTTCTTGATTTATTTAAGAATCTTGAATATTTTTATAATTAGCAGTGATAATTCTAGTTTCTAACTTATATCTATCTTAGTTTGTTTTTGTTATTGTTTTGTTTTGTTTTGTTTTGTTTTTTTTTTTTCAATATCACAAGAGTGTATTACTTCTTTACAGATTTGTTATCATTCATGCCTTTGATAGTTTGATAAGAATTCTAATTTATTATATATATATATATATATATAAGTTGATGATCTTACTTCTTTTGTTGTATTTTAATATTATAAACTATCCACCTTTCAATTAATATTTTTTATTATCTAATATTGATTTTTTCTTTAATAAAAATAGAAAATCCATCTTTATTAAATTGAAATTTTTTTTCTTTTAATTTGACTTATTTATATGTTAAAATTATTTTTTATAGAAATAAAAATTAATTATAGATATTATATTTGGTGGAAGAAAGAATAAATTTATATTTATTGCAAATCTTTACGAGCTTATTAATATACTTAATACAAAAATTTCATGTATTACTAATATCAACCATAAATGTATTATTTCTATGCATACAAAAGAAATCAACAAAGAGATCCAATGTCTATATAAAGAAGTTGTGCAGTTGAAAGAAGCAAGTAAATCAACTTCAAAAATAAAGACAAAAAGTCTCGTTAATACAAGTATGAATGGGAGAAAGATTAATATGTTTGAGAAGTTTAATGGAACAAGATTAAAATTTTAATTATTTTTATAATAAGTTAAGTTTTATTTAAGTTTATATCTTTGTGAATACTCTTTTGGATTTACTCAAATAGGATTTACAAGTACATTTTTATTTGGTAGTACTTTTTTTCAATTTTCACCTTTGATGGAAAAATATTCATGACTTCTACATGATCTATATTTATTTTTGGAAGTGTTTAAAAATTATGTTTGGAGTAAGTGATTAAAAAAATAACATAAAAAAAATTCATGTCATTATAACAAGAGTCATAATCAACTACTATCTATACTATAAAAGTCCTAAATCTTGCTTGAGACATGGATAAAAATGACAAAGTTCTTATCAATCAAATGAATTAAAGGACAATGTTAAAAAATTATTATTAATAATACCATAAATAAACTCATTAGAACAATTTATTACTCAAGCTATTGTATATAATAATCAAATTTTGAAAAGACACCAAGAACAAAGAATTGATTGAAGATGAGTAAATCAAGTTATAATAAAAACTTATTTATTAATATAAAATTCTATGCAAATTGATGTAATATGTTTTAAAATTCTCTCATTGTAGCAAAAAAAGACACAATGTTGTTAAGAATGATCATTGTTATATTGTGAAGAATCTAAATATAACACTCAATATTATTCAAAGAAGCATTACAACCACAAAATGAAAAGCATGGATGTCAAAGAAGACAATGTATCAAAATAGAAGTTTATCTAGCTATACTAAGAAATATATGGTTAGAATTTAAACCAACATCTAATAAATCTCATATTTTCTTCTAAGAATCTTCATCTTGTTTTATAATAGATGTTTATTTAGGACCTAAAAATCACAAAACATCTACTTTGTTAAGTTCTTAAGCTTTACATTGTTTTTGAGATGAAAAAGTTTGTTAAACAATATAAAATACTTTTAATAAAAGAAAATATGCCAGTACATGTAGAAGTCATAGATGATCATCTTTTATCTTTTGGAAATGTTGTCAATAAAACTATTATTGTAGATATAATAACAAGAAAAAATATCACATATATCCTTGAAATATGTTGAAATATCAAAAAAAATCCTTGTATTGTTGATAATAGCAAATATATCCCTCACTTTTGTAATAATTACAAATTTTTCTTTGAACTTGATAAGATATAAATTTATTTCTATTTTTTGTAAATTTAAGGTCTAAATCGTGTGTTATGTAAATTTTAGCGCATTATTTTTTTGTACAAATTGGGCCTTCTACAAATTAGATATTGATGTTATTATTGTCATGACAATATTTCCAAAAAATCTTTATGGTACAAACTTGCTTACTTCAAGACCAAAGACAAAGTACAAAGATGCAACCAACTGCAACCAACTGCAACTAACTTCTTTTAGTTCATGTTTTGTTTTTTTATTAAGGATGCATAGCTTTTTAACTTGCATCTTCAGCAAGTGACTTAGGCTAGAAGCTAGTATCAATAAAATTAGATTGTTACTTGGAGACCATTCAAAGCTAAATTAATACTTAAAGCAAATAGATAGGGAGGTGTTCCATGAAAATGATATAAGTGAAAATCTTGTTTAAGAATATGAAACTATATTTGTGCATGATTTTGAGTTAAAGAAGTGTTTAATTCTTTGTATTAGAGAAAGCTTCAAAAGATAGTATATACTTGAATTAAAAAAAATATATCCTTATTAGGATATATATAATGCACATGTGTAAAAACTCTATGTTGTAGTGTGTTTACATAGTGTTTTCATTCAACATAGAGTTTTTACACATGAGTATTACATTTTTTATTTATTTAATATGATTACTTTTCAATGATGTGATAATGGCAAAGCTAAGCAATACTTTGTAGAAAAATACTAAAGCTCCATACATCAACTAAAATATAAAAGAAGCATACAAAGTTATGCCATCATTGTAAAACGAGTTTGCATCATCTACAAAGCGGATATATTTGTCAAAGCAATACAAATCACTCTCATTGTGGATCTGATAATAAATAGAGATATTCTTGAAAGAACTTCAGTATTTCAATGATGTTCAAATATCCTATAATTTCAAAACCAAACCTTCAATGAATATTGATAGTGGAATTTCTTTTACAAACATTTTTTGTAATTTTAAGAAACAAAAGCTTATAGATTGATTTAGAATAAGCATTAATTATTTGATCCTACATCATTAAGTATTTTTTTACTATGCCTTGATTAAAAAATA